ACCCAATCTCCTGTGCCCATCCACCACCCCCAGGGGATTCTGAGCTACCCCTTAGTCTGAAACTCTCTTTTCTCTGGATTAGAGCAAAAGGGATACTCTGTTCCAGGAGTCAGAAAATTTGGGACACAACTGAGTTACAGGATGTTTGGACAGGATATCATGTCTGCATCTTGTACTATGAATAGCCACTACAAAGACAACAACATGCAATGTATTAATTATTGAAACTGTTTTATTAATCGGTTCTGAAACTGTCTCATTGTTTCTCAATAAAATTTTAAAAATTAAAAAAATAAAAATTTTAAAATGATGGGAAATCGAAAACATTAAAAAAAATAATAATAAGAGACAAGAGTTTTGTCAGGTGGAGTCCTCTTACCTGATGGGCAAGAGGACCTAACAACAATAGTAGGAGCATTTATTTATACACTTGTAAAGTTAGTATCACAAGACCCAAAGTTGCCTAGCAACTAATGACTCAAACGTCTAGGCAGGATGCTATTCTCAAAACTGAGGTAACTTGACTGCTTTAGGTATTCTGGTTCTGTCCCACCCTCACACATAGCACCAATTTCCTGCTTCACCCACTCCCAATAGTAAATTACTTAGGTGGACATGGAAAGTAAGCAGGACAAGGGCAATGAGGGGCAAAGGGAGGGCATCTGCATATGTTTAAGGTGAAGTTGAGACAGGAAATCCAAGCTTCCTACTGTGTTCTAGTTCTTGAGTCACCTGGGATGCCTGGTGCCCTCATGGACCTCGGAAGGACATGAGCTTACAGTCTACATCTTGGGGTCTTGTTCCTGACCCACTGCTCCTGAGCAATGATCTGAGAAAGCTGTAAAGCTCTCTGAGCTTAGTTTCTTTTGTACTAGGATGAGAATTATGTGCACCCCAGTGCTGCTATGGGGTGAAATGAGACAAAGACACTGAGTGAGCCCACAGGATCTGAGGCTGCTGGTGGTTCCAAGTAGTTCTTTCTCTAGCACCCTGCAGGAGCCCTGGCCAAAAATAAGGAAAGGAGGGGAGGGAGGGTGATACAGAATCGAAGTCAACTCAGAAAGAAAGGAATCAAAAACAAAGTTCTTGTGAGCAGATACCTGAGGAGATGAGGGGGTAGGGGAAGTAGTGGGGTGGTAGAAGAGAAGGAGAAGCAACGTGGCTCTGACAGACAGATAACTTTCTCACCTGGCTCTCCATCAGCCTCTGGGGGAAGGAAAGGCACAGGCGTGTAGCTCTAACCCTAGCACAGCAGCACCAGGATTGGCCAGGCCTCAGCTTCTAGAGCTGCTCCTGTCCCCGTATGAAGTCCTCGCACCTCCCACCCCAGGGCCCTTCCACCCTTGATGTTGGGAAGCTAAGCCAGGCAGAGAGGCAGCCCAAGGCTCCCTGGGACAGAGAGCAACTGTGCTGTGGTCTCCCATGCCCAGGACCAAGCACATCTACCTCTCTATTAGTGGAGTTAGAGCCTCCCCAGGAACTCAGTTCTGCAGAGCCCAGCCTCTACCTACAGCTGACTCGGCCCAGTCCAGATTCTGCAACCTGCAGGACAGCTAGGGACCTTCTTGTTCAGTCCTCTGCTGTTGGGAGACCAAGGCATAGTTGCTCTCTGTCCTCCCAGGGAGCCTTGACTTCTCCCTCTTGGGCCCTGCGGGCACTGGCAAGGGCAGCAGTGCTGACCTGATGGTGCATCCACAAGCGCTCCTCCAGCCTGCACCACCCAAGGACTCAGCAGCTTTGGGGCCTTCGTCTGGGCCTGAGCCCAGCAACAGTGGAGCTGTCTCTTACAAGACACAGAAGGATCTCAGGCCTTTGCCTCCACAGTTCCTCTGCCATCTACCTCTGCCGGGTCCCACCTTCATGAGTTCTAAAATGGTAGCCTTGAATGAGATTAGGGCAACTCTCATGACCACTGAAAATTAGAAAGTGCCCAAGTATCACCACCACCACAGGATGGAATGGGCCAAGGGCGGCAAAGGGGCAACTCACCTGTGCATCAGTCACTACTTGTTAACTGTAACAAAATACTCAAGGCAGCTAACTTACAAAAGCAAAATTTTTATTGTGCCTCTTGGTTCTGGAAGTTCTCACTCAAGACCAGGTGACCACACTCTCTTTGGGTGTTTGGAAAAGGGGGTACACTATACTGGTATCTGGTGAGACAACTGGTACCAGGAGTCAGGAGAAAACATGGAAGAGATAAGTGTCCCACAGGCTTCCCCAAGGACCTGTCCCCAGTGACCTAAAGACCTCCCACAAGGTCACACCCCCTAGACCACCTTCTCCCCACACTGCCACACTGGGGATCAGACCTGTAGCTCACAGGCCTCTGTGGGGTACTGATCCAAACCATGTTCTATACTAAGAGTGAGGCTTGTGTTTACAGAAAAACAGCAAAACAAAGGAATAAGACTCACACTGGAAAGTATTCACAACAATCAAAAAAGGATTAGTAGCCAAAATACACAAGGTTAGTGAAGAGATAAGACTGCTGCCAGAACAGGACCACATGGTCAAATAGCTCCTCACAAAGGAAGAAAGAGAAATGACCCAGGTCATGGCCAGTCCTATCAGGAGCTAGGAAGAGGCAAATTCAGGCTACAGTACACAGACATTCAATCACCAAAAGAAAATACAAAGCTATGACAATGACAGTACCACATGCTGTGAGATGAGAGATGTGAAGTGGGTGTTACAGGATGACCCTGGATTGCATCTATGCTAAAGGATGGTTGTTCGATGTGGAGGACCACCTGAGCAGCTCTCCTTGAAAGAAGAGTGACTGTCTCCATCTTGACTGAGCCTGACCCTATTTCCTTGTATTGTTATGTGCAGAGCTGGCTAGGACTTCCGTTTATCCTTCAATTGGCCTTAAGCAACGTGTACTGGTCTAGGGCCCGGGGAGATGGCTCAGTGGAATAAGCGCTTCCCTGGCAAGCGCAAGGGGCTGAGTTCAATCCCCGGTTCTGCAAAAAAAAATGTGTACTGGTCTAGCTGAGGTGCTGGTGATAGTCTTTGAAGGTGGCGTGCATGTTTCCCTGGTAACCTAAACCCACTGCTCCTTAATGTGAGCCTGTTGAGACAGGACAGTAGAGCTAATGCTAGCTGGGATCAGCCTCAAGACAGAGGCCATGACATCCTGGGGCTTGAAAGGCTACACCAAAGCTGAAGCACCAGACTTACCAAAACATTAGGTACTATATAATGCAGATTATTCTCTCTGCATATCCTCTCTGCATATCGCAGAGGTAAATTTAGGCCGCACACCTAGCTCAGCTCATAGTAGTCTCTTTCCCACAATTCTCAGTCAATCCTCAAGGCACTCCCCCACTGAATAAAATCGGGTGAGGCCCTGCGTCGCTCTCTTGGCTCCAGAAAGCCATCTTCATGGCTGGACTTAGAGCCCCTTGACTCCCCGATGATTGAAGATATAATTTAGTGTCTTTATTTTCGCCGTGGGTTGCATTGTAAGTGGTAGATTGGAATCAATTTGATGGGATTCCAATAATGTAACTTTGGGATTATAAATATTGGCTTCTTGGACTGAGACAAGGACCTAAAAGTGTCTCCTACAGTTCAAGACATCCTATTAAAGACAGTTCCTAAAGGAAAGTCCCACAGACCCAAAGCTGTGTACCACAGGGATATACCAGGTTGCATAAACTAAGATCCATTTTAGTCTTGTTAGGAAAAAATTTGTCATCATAAAGCACTTCTGTACATATACATATACAACCAAGGAAAATAAAACTGGTCAAGTATTTCCAAGGAACCACTCCCTTCAGTCTGATGCTCCTCAGTCCCTTCGGATGCAGTCTATACCGAGTCCCCACAGCTCAAGTGCTGGCCTGCAGGGGTCACAAGGCTAAGCCCAGGCTATGCCTCTGAGAACTAGGCCTGTGTCTTCCCTTAGAACCTGGGCTGCCTTGCAGCTCTGACCCACCCAGCACAGTAGAAGTGACACAGTGTGACTTCTGAGCTGATGTCACAAAGGACTTCTGCATTATCACTGCAAATACTCTCTCCTGAGGCTCGGAGCCACTGTGAAAAACTGTCAGCTCCCCTCCCCTGATACCACTATATGCTGAGGAAGCCTGAGTCACCTGGAAAGGTCAAGTGCAGGGTCTTCATGAACAATCCCAGTAGAGCCCAGCTTTAGGTCCCACAGTCTGCTCTGTGCTACAAGCCAGGGTGAGGAAGCCTCCAGAGAATTCCACACCCAGCCCCCTAAGTGACACCCCCACTCCAAGCTTCCTGGAGCACCCCATCCTGGGGCCTCCTCCCTCTGCCCTCCTGATGTCTGGCTACCCTGAGGCACAATAACACAGTGCTTGTTTCAGGTCACTGAGCTTGGGTGGCCTACTCCAGGACAGGGATGAAGGACTGTTCCCCCACTCACAGCCCAGGACCTCTGCCTCATCCAGCCACCTCCTCCCGCAGAGCATTCACCTCCTCCCTCCCCACAGAGCATTCCCCGCCTCCCAGTCCTGGAGCTCCCCACCCTTGGTGACATCCTGACCTCAGCCGGAACTGCTGCATTCTATCAGTTAGCAGCACGCCTGGTTCCTTAGGAGGCCCCCTGAGAACTGCTCATGAGGGCTGGGGAGAGAGGCAGGGGAGAGAGGCAGGGAAGGATCATCCCATAACCGCTCCAGAGCCCCTGTGTCCCTCAACTGGTGCTGTCAACATGCATGTCCCTGGGCAGAGCTGCAGGTCACAAAGTCACCATGTCAACCTTCCTGTCAGTCATAACCCCAAGGTATTGTGCCCTGGGGTGGGGGAAGGGCCTCAGGGACAGCTAGTAGCAGGAAGCCCAGTCCCTGTGCTCTGAGAGGGAACTGGTGTAGACATACTGACATTGGTGCCAGGGCTCCAGGGGCCACAGTCCCTGGACACGGGCAAGGTGGCCAAGCAAGAGGCTCAGGGTGGTTGGTGTTTGCCCTACCTGGGTCCTGGCACAGGGTCCCATGAGCAGGGGGGTCACAGGGACGGCCAAGGAAATGGGGCCTGGTGTGCCCTTCTCTGTGCTCTGCCTCCTGCTCCTGCTGCTTCTACCCCTGCCTCTCCTCAGTGCAGAGAGCCTCCCAGACCCCAGCCCACAACCCCACGAGGGCCTTGGAAGCTCCTCCCATCTCCGTGACCAAGAGGCCCAGCAACACTGGCGCCACAGTCAGAGAGAGAGAGATTGCTGGGGTGCCTTCGACCTCTACTTCATTCTGGACAAGTGAGTGTCCCCTAAGGCATGCCTCCACCTGCCCTCAGGAAGCAGCAGTTTCTGGTCACTGCAGGCAGGACAAAGCCTCAGGGGACGAAGCTTCCACACAGACAGGCAAGCCCCTTTGGGGTTCTCTGGGGAGAGATGGCCTATGGCCTCTGGGGGTGCACGGTTGCATCCTTGCTCAGAGCCCTTTGCTCTAAGCCTCGTTCTCCCTCCCACTCTGCAGATCTGGCGCAGTTTCTGGGACTCAGTGTGACCATGTGGAAGCTGGGCTGCCAGGGAGGGAGGCAGGGGGGTCTTCATGCTGGGGAGGTGACACCTCAGCCCCTCCTGCTGGCTGGGCCTGGGGACACAAGAGGTCACCCTTCCTAGTGCCCAGCGCTCCTCCTGCAGCATTGTGTCCTCCCCACTCCTAATACCCAGCAGCCCAGGGGTCTCTGTGTGATGTTCTGCTTCAAGGTGGGGTTCTTAGTGGCCAACGTACCTGGAAGAGGCTGAGTTCCAGACTTCCTGGGCTAGGCTCTTTCCCCGGTTGCAGGTCATCTGTGCTCATGTCCTCCTCCTCTGTAGGCACTGAGGGTGGGGAACACACAAGTCCTGGCCCCAGCGCCAGAGCCAAAATTGTGACCTGGGTGACCCCTGCCCACTGAGGGAGAAGTCTCTCCTCACTTCAAGCCCAAGGACTCAGATGCCCTGGGCAGGTGGTGGCCCTCAAATATTTAGCACAGTAGGGACAGTAGCTCCTTTTGAGCATCGAGAATGGGGAAGATGAGCACCAGGTTGGCTGACGCCTGGTCAGGCTGTCCTGCCAGAAAGTGACTGCGACCCCAAGGGCCCTCTCAGTTGCTACCCTGTTTGCTCCCCTGGACCCTGCTGTGAGTCCCACAGGGTGCAGCCCAGCCCTGAGATGGATGGGGACAGCTATGGGCACCAGTGTGAGGTGGTGGTGGAAGAACTTCAAGTGGGTGCTTGCTGTGTGCCACACACTGTGAGCACTATAGGCCTCCCAACTGCGTGAGGAAGTAAGTTCTTTGCCCTCATCTCGGAAGGGTGGTGTAGAGGCTAGAGGAAGTCTTGTGGTTTGGGACAATTAAATAAAAGCCCTTCTGCAGCAAAATAGGAGAGAATGCTTTCCTTTTTCCTATGATCAAAGGACATGGGAAATCTGGGAAAACCCAAGGGACAGTGCTCTGGAGCCTAAGCTGAGGGCTCCCGTTTCTCACCCCCAGCCTCATCCCACACATCTCACACCTCTGCAAAAGGACAGGCAGGGTATCTTCAAGGCTGGGAGAGGGGCCGGTTTCTTTAGTCACACTTGGCTGGGGCTGGAACCCGAGCTCGGGCTCTGGGTTTTCTCCGAGGACAGAAGGGGAGCAGCTCAGTCCCGCACCCAGGCTGGGCTCCTGGAGGCTGGCTTGTCGGCAGGCTTCCTCCCCTACACCCTGGGCCTGCCACTTGCCATCCCCACCTGCTGGACTCTGCATCTGGGGCCCGAGAAGGTGTCCTCTGTGCCTACTTTCCATCTCAAGCGGGAGGGCCAACCATGGAGACTAGCGCACCCCCGTCTGTGGCTGAAGGGAGGCTCATTTCTCAGTTTGGCAGCATTTCAGCACAGCACAGTGTCACTCAGAGATGCCAAGGACAGTGAATACTGCACAGGGTGTGGAGAAAGGCCTGGGTTCAGGTCTAGACTGGGGGTAGGAACTGTCAGGGTTTCTCAATCTGCCAAAGACTCAGTTTTCTCTACTATAAAAGAGAATGAGCTGATGCAAGAGTTAGCTGGATGGAAGCACCCAGTAGTAGCCCAGGCACGCATGCTCTGGGAAATCATCCCGATACATTGAAAATCATCCGGGCCTTCCTTTCCTCATGGTGTCCACAGTGATTGAAACGCAGCTCAGTGGAAGGAAGGAGCAGGAGGTGGTGGCTCTTGCTGTGTGTGACAGTCACCACAAGCTTGCATGATCTCCAGGGGGACCCATTACAGGCACCACACTCTTGGGAAGAGAAGGGTGGCCTCCTGGCAGGCACTCTGACTCACTCCCCATGGAGCCCTGAGTGTCGTGTGTCCCTCTACAACAGGCATCACTCTCCTCTGCTCCATGATGCTCCACTTGCAGAGCTCTGGGTCCCCAGAGACCTTTACAAGGGATGAAGGGCAGATGTGCATGATGCCCTCTGGCTGGGAGGTCAGAAGGTCCTGGCCTCCTCCTCCCCCTCCTCCTCACTCTCCATCCAGGGACAGACTGGGGAAAATGGAGCAGAAGATGGGAGTAGGGAGAGGAAGAGCTGCAGCTGTCCCTGTGGCCCACAGTGCTGGCACCAGGGAAGCAGTGGCTGGCCTAGCCCCCTGCCCTGTCAGTACCTGCTGGAAAAGGCCCGTTGGGCCTACATGGCCTGGGTCTATAGGCTGGTGACAAAGCCAGGCTGGCTCCCCACCCCAAAGGCAGATCTGCGAGCTGGAACCCAGGAATCCAGCAGGGAGAACACAGGCTTTCAAAAGGCTTATGGTGGTATAGTGCCAAGGTCCCTACCCACCCACAGGAAGCCAGGAGGTCACCCCAAGAGCAAGTGGGGACCCAGCCAGCCTATGAATCAGAAGCACTCTAGGATCCTTCCAATCATGGCCTCTTTCTCTACTTCCTGCTCCTACAGCCCTCACGTAGTATGACCAGCTATACTGAGTGGCCACCAGCCATCCATGGTGTTGGGAAGGCCCCTTAATCCCAGCTGATGGCCTGGTTGGCCAGCCCTGGTTCACTGGTAGCTGTGATAACAGTTACCCTCAGGATGACCAACTGTGGTCAGAGGCATTGGACTGAGAGGGGCTTGTTAAGGATCCTGCAGAGAGGGGGTGAGGGAAGTAGCTATCCCAGGAGAAGGAAGCATCTCCTCCCCTGACTTGTATCTTCTTTGTCTTCAGGTCTGGCAGTGTGGAAAACAACTGGATTAACGTTTATTCATTTGTGGCAGACTTGGTGGAAAGATTTAAAAAGTATGCGTCCCCACCCTGCAGAATCCCTGCACTCCACTAGACTTGGTGGGGCCCTCGGGTGGGGCACAGAGCCCAGCTGGCTGGGCAGGAAAGGGGACAGAGGGCACTGGCCCCTGGATCTCAGCAGTGTGGTTGCCCTGCCCAGGAGCCTAGCCACCTGCAGGGACACCACCTGGCCTCCAGGACCCCCAGGCTGGGAAGGACATCAGGAAAGGCAGATGAGGGACTCAGCACTGACTCCTGGACACAGAGTGCTCAGGGTCAAAGGAAAGGGACAGAGAAGGTGCCAAGAAGGTGAGAGGAGAAAGCAAGCATTCCTAGAGGGAAGTCATCCTGGGCAGCTTCCTGTGGGTGTGGGAAATGAATTTGACCTTGAAAGATGGAGAAAAGGGTCACAGCAGCCCTTGCATAGCCCTTGAGGTGACCTCTAGTAGGGGCAGGACTCAAGAACTTCTTGCAGTGAGCAGCAGGAAGCCATGAGAGGTTCAAGGGCAGGGATGACATGGTCTACATTGTACTCCAAGAAAAAAAAAAAAAAAAAAAAAAAACCTGGGAACTGTGGGTGAACAGAGCTGGGAACCAGGGCAGGAGCAGTGGCAGCTCAGCCAAGCAAGCTGCAGCCGCCTTGCTGGGGTGAGAAGTCATGGGCCAAGGGCAGTGGTCAGGGACAGGAAGGGAGGAGTTGTGAATGGTGCCCAGAGGGACAAGGGTTTCCTGAGCTGGAAGGAGAGAGGAGGTTTTAGGAAGAGGAAAAGTGGTTAGATTTACAAAATGTGACATCAGCAGAGAGATCAGGTGGAAGGGAGGCCCCATGAAGGAGTGTGGAGGGTCTGTCTCCTTCAGAGTGTGTGTGTGTGTGTGTGAGAGAGAGAGAGAGAGAGAGAGAGAGAGAGAGAGAGAGAGAGAGACTGGTATGTGCATGAGTGTCTGGGACTGGGTGTGTGTGTGTATACTGTGAGTTCAGGGAGTGTATGGGTTGTGTGTGGATGTGTGTGTAGGTGAGTATTTGTGTGCATGCATGTGAGTGTGTATGTCTGCATGTGTGTCAGGGTGGTGGAGCAGAGGCCACCCTGACTCTTCCCGAGCCTGTGTCCCCATGGACTGCAGCACCTGACTGACCCATGCCCCAGGCTGTGTCCTGGGGTTGCATGCATGGTTTTCTTACTGCCCTGTTTCCTCCCAGCCCCAACCTGCGCATGTCCTTCATCGTCTTTTCCCGAGACGCTGAAGTCATCATGCCGCTCACCGCAGACAGGTAGGTACTGTAGCTGCTGTGACTCCACCAGGGCTGGGGACCAGGCCACAGGGAGCTGCAGGGATATGAGGGCTCCATGACCTGCTCTGTGGGGGCATCATCAATGCACAGAGTGGGTTGGTCGGGACCCCTAGAGACCCAAACTGACCTCCAGCCTGATGCCTGGCCCCTCACACCCCTGCTGTACTGCGACCCACAGACCCTGCTCTCCAGAAGCCCCCATCTCTGCCAAGCTCTAGCAGACCAGAGTTCTTCCTTGGGCTGACTGTGGGATGTGGGGGTCCAGGGGACTGGCAGATCAAATGAAGCTCCCATACGCACCCTGGCCTGTGTGGGGCCTCTGTGCAGATCTCTTTCCACCCAGTTCCAGGGACAGGGAGAGCAAGGGCTGGGGTCCAGACTTGAGGCTTTGTGTAGGGCAGCGTGCTCCCCCTAGTGGGACCCAATGGGGACGACTAGGAAATCAGCATTGGGGAGATTCCCCAGTGTACCCAGAGACCCAAAGGATCAGTGACCCATAAGCTGCTGACTGGCTACAGGACGAAACGTGGTTTCCGATGCAATGCCTGAGAGGGAGGAGCACAGAGGAGAGGTGGGAGTTGTTAGCCTGGAGTTGTGGGGAGCCACCGTGCAGGACGCTGGGGAGAAGCTGGGACAGAGTAAAGCAGGACAAACCAGCTCACAGGGAGAGGGGGTTCAGGTGGCCCTGGGACCTGAGGACAGTGGCACTGGACATCAGAATCTTTTGACCCAGGGACAGTAGAAAGAAGAATGGGCCAACATTTCCAGCACACACCCTGAACAAGCAAAGCTTTAAGGTTGTAAAGGCCATGGGGTGGAGACGGTCAGCCTAACTGGGGGTTTGGCTGAAGGAAGCCAGCAACTGATAAAACAAAGACCAGTCCGTGCTCAGAGAACAAAGTGAACATCAGGTTTGTGCTGATTTGCTAGGGTCGGGCTAAAATGTAGGGATTCTCATACTGTGTTGAATTCCAAAGTTTTTCTTCTTTTGACCAACATGGATAACCTTATGGTCATGGTGAACTCGTCCTGGATCTGTTGAATTTTATGAGCCTGGTGCCAACTTCCTACACAGATCATCCTGGCCTCATACTTGGAAACCCATAGGCGATCAATCCACTCGGAAACTGAGTTACTCTGACAGCTGGTGTCATCATTTTGCATAGTGTGATAGGACAGAAAGACATTCCATATTGGAGCTGCTGGGACAGCCCAAAGGTGAATTGGAAGAACCAGCTCTAAAGAGCAACAGGGTGAGCTAACCCTGAATAATTTGTCTTAGAAAAGCCATTTCTGAAGTGACTGACATGTCCACATAGAGCTGGGTAGAATACAACTCAAGAACTTTGGCAACAAAGGAATGCACGGAATATGCAGACGCACTGGTGGGGTCTACCTTCTGTTTTCCTGGAAAGGATGATTCTGCATCATTTGTTGAGCTGTTTAGTTTTAGTTGTTTTGTTGTTTGTTTGCTTGCCTTTTGCAGATGACACTAGCTGTTAAAAAAAATATGAAGATGCACTATGCCACGCCTTCTATCCCCTTGTAGTCACCCATACACATCTGCAGGTTTTATTTCTCCACTAGACACAATACTGACCCATGACTTCTAGAGTAGAGGTTCATTTGGTTCAGGTTTTAAAGAGATTTAGCCTATGACAGGCTCACTCCACAGCAGGAGCTTATGATGGAAGCAGAGCAGGGAACAGCACCAGACAGGAAGGAGTCAAGAATCACATACAGCACCTGAGATCACACTTCATGCCTCACTCAGACAAGCCCAGAGAAGGGCTCCACCAATCCCACAGCAGATCCCAAGCCAATGCAGCTGCCACTCAGCCTGCCCATCCCAAGTCCCAACCAAAGAACCAGTGGTTAGCAGCTCGAGTGGCCTTTGAGTCCCTGTGCAGTAACCAAGGAAATTGTCAGACCCCAGGGGTCAGAGATGCTCTCTGAAACAAAGCTGATTGTAGGAAGCCAGTAATACATTGCCCAGTTGTGCAACATCCATAATTAGCGATTATAAACTGACTAAGAGCAAGTAAAGTTGGCGGGATTATTCAGGGGGTTTCCTTCTCAGGAACACTTTCTCATTTCATGCCAACTTTCTGCTTCTGTGTTCTTTTTTTAAAAAATATTAAGGTTTATTGAAAGCAAGCATTAATGTTCAATTATTTGTCCAATCTTGCAAACCTGCATCTGTTAATCTGAGCAACAGTTTTGATGATAAAAATATATAATTTAACAACCATTGTTTTTTTT